TGTTAAAATCTCCCATGATTATTGTGTTGTGGTCTATTAGACTCTTGAACTTGAAAAGAGTTTGTTTGATGAACGTAGCTGCACCACGTTTGGGGCATATATATTAATGATCGTCAAGTCTTGTTGGTGTATGGTTCCCTTGAGCAGTATGTAGTGTCCTTGTTTATCCCTTTTGATTAACTTTGGCTTGAAGTTGGACCCCTGCTTGCTTCCGGGGTCCGTATGAGTGATATGATTTTTCCCAACCTTTCACCTTCAGTCTGTGTATGTCTTTTCCTATCAGTTGAGTCTCCTGTAGGCAGCATATTGTTGGATCTTTTTTTTAATCCATTCTACTAGCCTATGTCTTTTGATTGGTGCATTTAAGCCATTAACATTTAGGGTTACTATTGAGATATGGTTTGTATTTCCAGCCATATTTGGTTATGTATGTTACTTAACATGATTTGTTTTTCCTCTATGCTTACTTTTTCCTTTACTGTACTACCTCTTGCTGTTGGTTTTCATTGTTATTTTCCATTTCCACTTCCTGTAGTGTTTTGCCAAGGATGTTTTGAAGAGCTGGTTTTCTAGCTGCAAATTCTTTTAACTTTTGTTTATCATGGAAGATTTTTATTTCATCTTCAATCCTGAAGCTTAATTTCGCTGGAAACATGATTCTTGGTTGGAACCCTTTTTCTTTCAGCGTTTTAAATATGCTGTTCCAGGATCTTCTAGCTTTCAGAGTCTGTGTTGAAAGATCAGCAGTTATCCTGATTGGTTTACCCCTAAATGTAATCTGCTTCCTCTCTTGTGGCTTTTAAGATTCTCTCTTTATTCTGTACGTTGGGCATCTTCATTATTATGTGTCTTGGTGTGGATCTCTTATGATTTTGTACATTCGGTGTCCTGTAGGCTTCTAGTATTTGGATTTCTTTTTGATTCTTTAAGTCTGGGAAGTTTTCTAGTATTATTTCATTGAATAGATTGCTCATTCCCTTAGTTTGGACCTCTGTACCCTCTTGTATCCCAATAACTCTTAGGTTTGGTTTCTTGATGTTAACCATGATTTTTGGATGTTCTGCTCATGATTTCTTAACATTCTCGCTGAGCTGTCTATGTTCTTTTCAAGTTGAAAAACTTTGTCTTCGTTGTCTGAAGTTCTATCTTCTAAGTGTTCTACTCTGCTGGTGATACTCTCATTTGAGTTTTTAATTTGGTTTATTGTTTCCTGCATTTCCAGGATTTCTGTTTGTTTGTTTTTTATATCCTCTATCTCCCTATAGAGTTGATCTTTTGCTTCTTGGATTTGTTTAAGTAATTCATTGTCAAAGTGATTTTTCATTGTCTGAATTTGCTGTATAATGTCTTCCTTGAGACTCCAGATCATCTGAAGCATGTATATCCTGAACTCTTTGTCTGACATTCCATCAGCTGCAGATATTACCTCATCTAATGTTGAATTGACCTGTATTGCTTGTGGTCCTTTCTTTCCTTGTCTTTTCATACTGCTCATGATTCTTTCTAGCTTTGTGTAACTGTTGTGCTAATGTTTTTCCCCTTATATATTAGTATTATTCTTGTATAGCTCCAAAATCCCTCTTTTGAGGAGAAAGACGATGTTAATAACAGTTCCCAATATCAACAGTACATTATCTAAGCACAAGTTTTCATTATTAATACATTTATAGTTGGATTCTAAGACTATAGATATTGGTTTTAATTATTGCTTAAGAATATCTTCATTAGTTTTATAAAAGGCATACCATATCTGGTGGCATATAGAAAACTTAATTTCAGACGAAGGATGTTATACTTAAGAGGGAAAGGAGTGAGGGTATGAGGTTAAACTAACTTAGCACCTTTGGAGAACTCTAACCACTAGACTGGTAATTTATGGAAGAATGTATAGACTCAACCTCCTATCTATTTAGATAGTTACCCTATGTATAGATAGCAAAAGTTAGGAGATTAAAAGTGGGATTGAGAGAATACGAATGAAAAAAAGAAAAGAAAAAAATAACAAGGAAGAAAAGAGAAATAAGAGAAGGAAAAGGAAAGTGAGATAGAAATCAAGAAAAAAAATGGGGGGGAAGGTGGGGTATATGCAATTCCTCTATATTATATTACTTTGGTAATTCGGTTGTTCATGCACAGTTCTTGGTTTCACATATGCTGAAGTTGTGCAAGAGAGAGAAGAAAGAAAGAAAGGAAAAAAAAGTCTCTCAGAACACTGTTTTCCTTGCTTCCAGTAGGTGGCGTTGTCTATTCCTAGCTTGAGCCTCTGTATTCAGGGTGGTGGGTATAGCCAGTGTGAAAGGAAATGAGCTTCCACCTGTATCTTCCCTACTCTAGTCTGAGGTAGAAACCAGGTATCTGTACAGTTGTTGTTTTGCGTTGATAGTTACAACCCCCAAAAGCTTGTGGGAAATATTTTGAGTCATGGCAGCTAAGGGTGGGGGGGATTGGAAACCGGGTACCTGGATCAGCTGCAGAACCGTGCTGGTGGCCACACCCCCTTTGATGGGTTTTAAGGGTTGATGGGCTTCCTCTGGACTAGCACTTGGGGCGGGGCCGGACTTCCTCCTCCTGTCTGCCTGGGCGCCTGGCGTCTTTCCTCCTCCGGTCTGGCTCGATAATTTTGTTTTTAAAAACTAAGTCTTAATAGGGCATTATGTAAAAATGTGGATGTGTAACCGATGTGATTCTGCAATTTGGGGTAAAATTGGGAGTTCATAACCAACTTGATTCTAATGTATGAAATATGATATGTCAAGAGCTTTGTAATGTTTTGAACAACCAATAAAAAAAATAAAAAATAAGTCTTTAGGGTTGGGGTTCTAGCTCAGTGGCAGAGTGCTTGCCTGGCATGTATTCAGTCCTTAGCACACATAAAAATAAATAAAATAAAGGCATTCTGTCCATTTACAACTACCAAAAAAAAAAGTACTTAATCCAGTTAAACTTATTTCTATTATGTGAAATGAGCCGTGGATCCAGTTTTATCACTTTCCAAGGTGATACTAATGCTAATGGTTACTCAGCCCTGCCCAGGAGCCACATCTCTGATTTTTTTTTTTAATATTTATTTTTAGTTGCAGTTGGACACAATACCTCTATTTTATTTATTTTTATGTGGTGCTGAGGATCAAGCCTAGGGCCTCCAACGTACTATACTGCTGAGCCACAACCCCAGCCCCAACATCTTTATCTCTTGTTTTTTATTTCCTGCGTATTCAGGTATTGCTTTGAAAAGATTCATAAACAAACACTGTCTCTTAGTATTCTTGGGGTATTGCATCCAGGACCCCCTGTAGATCCCAAAATGCATGAATGCTGAACCCTAACATAAAATAGTATATATAGCATTTGCATGTAATCTGCACATCCTCTTGTAAACTTTATCTCTAAATTACTTATAGGATGTATAGTTGCTATGTAAATAGTTGTTATACTGTATTTTTAGGTAACAATGACCAGAAAATTCTGTAGGGGCCTGTGTGTAGATTAGCGGTATAACACATGTCCCCAGCACCACCCCCCAAAAAAAAGTCTAAATGTTTAGTACAGATGCAATTTTTCCTCCCTTTTTAGAAAATTTTTTTGTAAATAATTATGAGATTGGGTTTTGCTAAGTTGCCCAGGCTGGACTTGATCTTGTAATCCTTCTGATTGAGCATCCTTAGTTGCTGCCCCACATATTTTAAATCTGTGATGGGTTGAATTCATGGATAAGGAACTTACTGGTTCAAATGAGCTGAGTGTATTTGGTTTTATTTTATCTTATTCCAGTAGATAAATAAATCATGAATATTATTAAAGTAATATATTTGTAGTACCAAATTATGTTTTATGTAAATACTGGATGGCTGTTGCAAAAATGACTGGTGTCTTTTTTAAAAACTCATTAGGGCAAGGGGTGGAATTGGTCAGGTTATAGGACCTATTTTTGTTACTTTATAATACCAACTTACTACAAGTTTATTTAAAATATATTATTTAAAATATATTATTTTCAATACCCTGTGTTAGATAAGGATAAAGAATATGGTATGTTTCTGATTTCTTAAAAGTTGACATTTTATGAATATTCTTACAGCAGAAATAAGAAAGATAAAAAGAGAGAAAAAGAAAGGGATCACATCAGTGAAAGAAGAGAGAGAGAGCGTTCAACTTCTACAAGAAAGAGTTCTAACGACAGAGATGGAAAGGAGAAGTTGGAGAAGAATAGTACTTCAGTTAAAGTAAGCAGTAGATAACAGTATTTGGCATTGAATAATTAATTGAGATTGTTCTTTATCAACTGAATGCTTCTTGAGGGCAACAGTTTTTACATTGTTGGCATTTTAAAATAGTTATTAAATTGGTAAATTTTTTCATTAAATTTTGAAAACATGAGAGACAATTACGATTTAAAATATTATGTTCCTTATTTTATAGAATCAGAAAATGGCATATAATAAGAAAATGTTTAGAAAATCTGTGGGCATTAAATGTATTTGACACATTTATACTGTTAAAATTTCTGCCTGATGCCATTTTCCTCTGTTTTAGCAAATTTGACAAGACTATCTTTAGTCATTGGCTTTGTAATAATATATTACTAATTAGGTTTGTTGAATTATATAATGGAAAACCAAATTCCACCAAGTAAGCTTTTTCTTGAACAAATATTTTAAGTACTTGTGAATTATGTCAATTCCCCTGTCCATCCTCGTAAAGTATGTTTGTATTAGAAATTGAGTTCTGGGACTTTCATTATGTAATTTCCTGCTGGTAGAGGGTTAGGATTGTCATTGATAGTAATTATTGATCATTTATTGTGTGCCACTCTTGGATCTCATTTAATTTTCCTTTAAGCTAAGGATAAAATTTGACCTGTGTGTGTGTGTTTTGGTACCAGGGATTGAACTCAAGGGCACTTGACCACTGAGCCACATCCTCCAGCCCTATTGTATTTTATTTAGAGACAGGGTCTCACTGAGTTGCTTAGCACCTTGCTTTTGCTAAGGTTAGCTTTGAACTCGAAGTCCTTCTGTCTCAGCCTTTGAATTGTTTTAAACAGTCTTTTGTAAGAGGAATATTTACTTCCTTTATTTTTGCTTCTGATGGCATTTTTGGAAGTTACTTCATGCTTTCAGCAGGTTGATCTCACTTTTTCAAGTCGTATCCACAATATTTGTGCTTCTTTAGAATTTCTGTTCACCTGTTCTAACTTAGTTCCCATGTTTTATGAGAAATGCAGTGGTCAAATTGATACATTTTGCATGTTCTTTTTAATGTATAAATAATGAAAGTAAATAATCCAGTTTTATTAATTCACTAAGATGTCATTTAACCATAGTAGCAGTAACTCTTGAGGGGAATAGTAAATGATTACCTTCATATTTATTGTAGGAGAAGGAGCACAATAAAGAACCAGATTCAACTGTGGGCAAAGAAGTAGATGATAAGGATGTACCAAGGACTGAGGAAAACAAAGTACAGCAAAATGGGAATTGTCAACCAAATGAAGAAAACCTCTCTACCAAAACAGAAGCAGTATAGGACAGACTTATGCACCTCTGCACTCAAAGGTGGAATAAAATCCAAAGCTTTTAATTCTCTCAACAAGATGTAAACAGGGAAGAAATCTAGCCGAATATGAAGTTAGAAGCTAACAGCTTTTCTAATTGTTAGGTGATGTTATGGACATCTTGTTACTGAGTAAGAAAATAAAGCATGGACATCATGAAAATACCAGATGTTACCCAAACCCCTCATCTTCTAAAAACTGTGTTTCCATGGTGGCTGACACACTTGTCATGTGTGATTGTTAGTGTTTGCCAAGAACCATTGCAAATAAATTGAACATCATTGATCCAAATTTGTACTTTCCCTAGAGACTGGAGGTAAACATTGGAGGCTCTTAAAAAAAAAAAAAAATGCTAGTTACTGAATTTTGTATTGTTTTACTTTTTTTTAAAAAAAATTTCAATATATACAGTTTGATGATGTGCTTGAAATTGGTGCAAATATATACACACCCTTGTAAGTGCAAAGTATGTAAGAAGTTTTAACATTTACTTCACAGGATTTACAGTGATTGTGTTAAATTCTCACTATTGTGTTTTCTTTTGCTCACTGTTTAGGACAGCAGTTTTTCTTTAAAATAGTTTTACAATTAAAATTGCTTAAATAAGTGGATTAAAAAACAACTGACAATGCATGCTACTGTTCTCTTTCAAAAGGAAGAGCAACTGTGTTGAATACTAATACTAATGTATTAGTATTCAGTGTTTAGAATCATTGGGTCTACCCACAAACAGAGTAAGCATTTCTTTTTGAACTTTCTTGACATTTCCAAGTTTTATTATGAATAATATTGCAGTGTGACTTGTCAGCTGTAGGTGGCAAGGATGCCCTCGTAAAAAGGAAACTGGGTTTTCAAAATGGGCTACAGGAGCACAAGCTGAAGCTTTAGTGCCTTCTACAATGTGGTATACTGTTTTCTAGAATTTTATATGTGCTATTCATTCTCAATTCATATGGAATCTAGGTATTCCCACCATAGAGAAGTACGCAAGTGATATGTCAGAAGAGCTTAACTTAGTTCACTTCATGTGAGAAGGAAACCTTGTTTTCAAGACTGACTTTAGAGTTTAAAACAACAGTGCAGTTTTGGGACCATCAGTTTTATATATAACTGTGATAACTAAAAATGAAACATGCTCTATTTTCCTCAAATCAAAGGAAACCATTTAGTTGACTACATTGGATGGCCTTAATTTTTACCTCTCAATCATTTTCCTATAAACAATGTGCAGAAATTATACTTAAAGGGAGGACAAGGAATATATGGGAGGTTATTTGTTTTGTTTAAGACTATGTTTACTTGAGTTTAAGATACAGGTCATCCATCATTCACTTTTTGCAGAAAGTATACAAGTAGTAAAATGACAACATATCTAATATTTTCCCCCAAAACTATAACTCGTAGTTTCTGAACTCTTTTCATTATTGTTATATTTCCAAAAGTACTTTTAATTAGCATTTTATTAAAAATCAAGTATAATTATTTTAATGCAATCTAATACAATCAAATTACTCAGTTGCCTTACCTCATGGGACGAGTTACTTTTTATAGATTTAAAAGCTGAGTAGCATGTTAGTTACTTGGTTTCAACTTGAGTCTTCTTTTTAAATGTTAATACTGTTGAAACTTAAGTATTTGATGGAGAATGGAAAGAGTTGTTCTTTTTGCAAGTTATGAAGCCTGGTTTGATTTTGAAGCTGCTTAATCATCTTCATATGTTCAGAATTACTGTGGTTTTTTTTTTTTTTTTCTCCTTTTTTGTCACTGTGTACATTAAAATTTTGGAAAATGCTTTACTATGTAAAGTATAGGTGGTCATTGTAATCATTCAACCACGTAAGGTTGGCTAGTAAACAGCTTATTCTGATACAAGAATGCTTGGGTGCATATGGAAAGATTGTGAAGGAGTGTGTGTCTTGCATCAACAGCTGTCTTATTTATGATATGTAAGTAGAATAGAGCAAATGTTGTTTGAATCTGTTATTTTTAGTACCATTTCTCTAATAAAGCTAAGTATTTTAGAGGAAAGTAGTTGTTTATACATTTTAAAATAAGATCTTAGTTTTCATCCTGCTCTTGATTTAGTTAGCACAGAGATTGTTTTGACATGGCGAGTGTATGTTTGTGTGGTATCTGTCTACAAATTAGTCATTTCAAGTTTAAATATTTTCTTGTACTCTGGACTCTTTAAGTGTTTTTTTATGTTGGAAATTAATATTTAATTTTATTCCTACCACTAATTTTATTGCTGAGGATATTTATTCAGCTGTAAAGTAATATTGATTTTGAGTGATTTTTTTTTCCAAAAACTGAGAATCAGGTTGGGGTTGTAGCTCAGTGACAGAGTACATGTGTGAGTCACTGGGTTCGATCCTCAGCACCACATAATAATAAACAAATAAAAGAAAGGCATGTTGTCCATCTACAACTACAAAAAAAATTCTATTAAAAAGCTGAGAATCTAGGAATGTAAGATTTGACATTTTTTTACATGGAAGCAAAGCCTACTAGGATCTAGATGTGTGTGTGAGGGGGTATGTATATGTGTGTGTGTGTGAGACAGATGAGTTTTCTTTTTGTTCACTTAAGAGTTGACATGTTTCCATTTGTTTATTATTTTCTTTAAGGGTACTGTATTTTTTCCTTTAAAATTATTTTTTTCATCTCTCCAGTAGATGTCAGGAAAACTTGAGGTAAGGCCAAAAAGGCAGCCCTTTTATACTTCATATCTTCTGTGATTCTTTTTAAGCTTAATTACAGAGAAGGCACTCTGTTTTTCTTAAATCATACTTGTTTTTCAGCAGTGCTTGTTGAACTGTAACAAAAGATGGTCCTTCATAACTGACTAACCAGTCAGTTTCACGTGCAAAAACTTGTAAATCCTTAACTTACACAGTTGTCTTCTTAGCTTCTATTTTCCATCTAATCTAATTAGCTTATAGTCAAGTCATCTTGTGACTTTGCCCATGTTTAGAATTCTTTTGAAGAAATACCTACCTTGATCTTCACTGTTAGAAGCTTAAATTTTGACATGCTCACTTAACAATAAAGCTGGTATTTATAACCAAAAGATTATTTTGTCAAGAAAACAATTTTATATAAATCATTTTCAGGATCCTCAGTCATTTCTATGTGTGTGTATGTTGCTATCTTTATTTTAAAAGTTGAGAAAACAAAAAACTGATTCAAGTCTCACAACTGAAGAGATTGTTCAAATTTTAAGGATTTTAAGTATAGTAATAGGCTTTTAAAACTTAAATTTTTTTGATCTGCACTATATTATAAGTGCAGGTTTTCTTCATTTAACTTTAGTTGAATTAGCAATTAAAATGAAGTCTTTTTGGAGGGATGCATTGAATTGAATAACAACATTTCAGTAATGTCATTTCTTATATTTTCATGGTAAAAGATAATATTTGATTTTAATTGAGTGGTTTATTGAAGTTGAACCATTCCTACAAAGTAAAAGTACAGTGATCATGTGCTCTTTGTGTTTAAATATTTTTTTATTTTTACTTCCTACTTGTTTAGTATTCTCATATGTTCATTTACTGATGTCATAGTCACTTCGAATTATTTTCATAATTCAAAAGTTAGTGCTTTTAAGGGCTAACTTATTTCTGGAAGCAGGAGTCTAGTATAAATATAATAAAATAATCTTTTAAAAATAAAACTGACTTTCCTACTTCATCTTAGGTTTATGGGTGAAATTTTTATTTTAGGATACTTTTATTGGTGATTTTTGCATGAAGAGAGTGATATTTTAGAAATAAAAGCTAAAGCCATTTATGGTATTTGGTCCATATTTGGTCAGGTTAGATACAATACCTAATGTGGATCTTTTCATTCCAGTTTAACCCATTTTTTCCAATCATATGTGATGTGGAATGACTAACTATAAAACCATAAATGAAGCAACAAGTATATCACTTATAGTAACTTTGAAATAATTGTTTTCAGAGGTCTATTCTTTTGAGAAAATAGGTGATGATTAATTAGAATGTTTGAAAATATGTAAAGGACATATAAGCTCTAGACTATGATTTCCAAACTATTTTAATGTACCTGTGTCAATTTCATTGATAGAAAATTAAAAATTTGGGAATTAATGTGTTAAGGTACCTTTATAATTATAATTTGTCAAAATTTTCTGTTTATATGTGATACAACATTTCCTTTTGGGGATTGCTGGGGATCAGATTTAAGCAAGTGTTCTACTACTGGGCTTCCCCTCCAGCCCCAGATGTACATGTCTTAATATTTTTAAGTAGGTTTTAATATGTTGCCTGATTTTTAAATTTATGTCTAGTTAACATTTTAATTTGGAAAATTGTCAATTTTGAGGAGACTTCACATATTTTGCCTCTAAATTTAATTTTCCCAGGATTAGCATGAATGTTAGTTTCTTCTAATCTTGATTAATTTTTATTTACTAGTCAGGTAACTTCATAAATGTAAATTCAGATTCATGAAAATCATACTGAAAGAAGAGAGTGATTTCCACCAGTTTAGGGGTATAGGTATAGATAACACATTGTCAGGGAATAACCTAGAGAATTCGTGATTTCCACAAAAGGTTAAATTTGAATATACTGTGTAGCTGTATAAATCAGTTTAATAGTTAAATAATTATCCTCCTAACCTTGATTAGTTTAATAGAACAGTGCTATAGATTTTCAAGGGAAAAGTTTAAAATGTTACATTAAGATTCTGCATAGGTGGTGTATATTTATGTGCGTAGGATTACTTTTAAATGGTACTAGTAAAGATTTATCAGATGCTGCTGCTGCTGCTATTATGTCACTATATTTTTAATAAAATGAAAATCTTAAAATCTTGCCACTGTTGTAGTAATTTCGCCTATTTCTGGGACATTTATTTCCAGAGTCACAACTTGTCTTTATAACAGAGATGGTTATAGGCTTTTCCAGAGTTAAAAATTACCACCCAAATTGACGTTTTTGTGTTTAACAGCAAGCGGAATGCTTTCTCCCCTTTATCAGAAGTGTAGCTCTCTGGTAAATGTGCTATAAGACCTCAGGGTGGTCATTTAAAACAGCGTATTGTTGAAAGTTTAAAAACAAGCTACCTGTTGAATGTATAGATTTAGAATTCTGTAAGAAGACTTAATGGCTTAGTTGGCCCAGAGATGATGAGCTATCTTCATTATAGTTAAAGGCAGTGAACTGTTTGAGTTTCCAAATCTGTTAAACTGTTTGTGCAAGGGTGGAAAGAAGAGACCTTTAAACGGTACTTGCCAGTAGTGGGGTTTTGTGTGTGACCTTCTCCACAGGACTTGTAGGGATTACAGGTTGTACCAGCTGCTTTTGACAGTAGACTTCTACATGAAATTTTACATTGCACTCTTTGGTACCAGGGATTGAACCCAGGTTGCTTAACCACTGAGCGACATGCCCAGCTCTTAAGTTGCATAGGGCCTGACTAAATTGCTGAGGCTGGCTTTGAACTTGGCAATCCCCTTGCACACAAGTGTGTGCCACCATGACCAGTCATTGCATTAGTTTTGAAAGATCACTGGATTATAATTAAGTTGTATAATTATATTACATTTCGTTTTTTATAATTATCATTTTCTTACATTATGAAAAGGCTCATGGAAAGAGTAGTAATGTTTTTTAAAAATCATACTATTCTAATGCATTAGCCAACGTAATGCTAATGGATCAGTTATAGAGGCATGACCTCTGGTAGTGCATTACCCTTTCCTGAGCTGAAGCTAAAGTCTTAACATTTCCAATTATCTGACAAAGAACTCATAATACTGGAGACATGTCAGAACCAAAAACTCCTGCTCCAAACAAAGCATTCAGTTTACAACGCTAAGTGAATGCACCACTCTTCCTACTTCCTCATTACCACCATTAATTTCTGATTTGACCCTACCCTCAACCACAAATTCTGTATTTCCTCTGCAATAAATATGCCCTTGTCTCAATCATGATTGGTTACATGGGACAGAATCACTGTTTATAGTATTAAATTCAGTCTTTTTGATCTATATATGTAGTCTACTAATTGGTCTTCCAACCTCAGGCCCTTTTCATATTCGCTTAAACTTTTTAAATTGGTTTGCAGTTTTTCTTACTTTTTTTTTTTAAGTGAGAGGAGAGAGAGAGAGAGAATTTTTGATATTTATTTTTTAGTTCTTGGCGGACACAACATCTTTGTTTGTACGTGGTGCTGAGGATCGAACCTGGGCCGCACGCATGCCAGGCGAGCGCGCTACTGCTTGAGCCACATCCCCAGCCCCAGTTTTTCTTACTTTTATATGAGAGTCATACATAGCAGTTTTAGTGGGAAAGTGTTCCCTAATCTTTAATTTTCTGAATGAATTTGTGTCATTATGTAGAATTCCTCAACCTGAACCAACCTAAAGCCAACCTTAACCTAGAATATGCTTTTGCTTTTAATATTACAAATTCAATATTAAGAATAGATACAGGGTTGTATTATTCTTAAATGAGCTTTGGTGTTGCATGTTTTTAAAGGATTTGTTTTGTCTAAATTGCTGCATTGGTGTGAAGTTAATAATATCCCCTTGTAACATCTGTAGGATGTCTCTCATTCTTAACACTGTTAACATATTATTCTTTTTATCTAGATTAGTTTAGCAAGAGATTTTTCTCAGATTTTTGCTTATATCTATTTTTTATTTCACTGATTTTTGCCCTTTAGTATTTATTTTCTGCTTAGTTTTGGTTTAATTCTTTAATTCTAGTTTAAGTGTGAGCTGGAGTCATTCATTTGAGAATTTTATCAATATTAGCATTTTTATTTTCATGAGGCTGCTTGTCATATGCAGCAGTGTTGTTCCACATCTCTCCTTGCTTCTTGGCAACATCACTTAATGATAGACCACTTGTTCTTATTTAATTTGGGGATGATGCTCAGAACAGAACAAAAAGACTGATGGAGGTCTCTTGGGTGCATTGGAATCCTTGAACTTTTTACCCTGTTTTAGGAGGGATATGGGTTTTTATTTCTCTTTGATAAATTTCCTTTAGCAGACTCCTTAGAAAATGCAAAGTTGCCTGAAGCATCTGGGTGTTTCTTGTGTTCCTCCTGTCAGGTCTGCACAAAAAAATGCATATGATGATGTGCTACTCTTGGCCTCTTAGAAGCTCCATTTGCTTAGATTTAATTGTTTTCCTTAGCAAGGAACAGTCACCTAGTGCCTGTCTGGCTCTTACTTGTCCCCATGCTGTATTTATAGAGGTCAACGTACTGCAGTGGCCATAGCTAGAATTTTGAGATTATATAACTAATCTTTTTGGCCCGAGAGTTTGCTAGTTTCATGTGCATGCAGCTTTCCATCAGTTCTTAAGAATAGTGATAATAAAAACAATAATAAATTAATAGCAATAATTAACAATAAGTATATTCTTTAAATTATCTTCTCTGAAACAGGAATCTGGCAGCTTCTCAAAGAAAATGAAATTGAGTGTAGAGGCAGCAAGGCCTCTGCTAGCCTTTCTGGGTGCCTTGTGCAGCTAGGAAATGCTGTTGCCTCTTGTTGATGCCACCTCATGGCACAGGGCCTGGTGAGTGCAGCCCAGTGTGGAATGCTGCACTGGGCATCATTGTGCAAAAACAGACTTCACAAATCATTTGAGGCTCCAGAGGCAGGAAGCTGTTTCAATAAGTCTCCTTTCTTCAGTCCCAGCCTCTGGATGGCTTGTTTGGCAAGTAGAAGCACGGAAGTCAGCATATCTGTATTGGGTTTAAAATGTGAAAATCTATGAAATCCTGAATCCGTATGCTGCAGATGAATAATACATTGTCCACAGACAACATTATTGAGGAGTTTGAAAGGATCTTGGAAATTATCTAGTTCTTCTCTTTCTACTCTTAACTTTAAAGGTGAGCAATTCTAAAGCCCATGGGGGAAGTGAGGGGATCAAGTTCTCACCACCAGTTAAGTCATGGAGTCTTGGTAGGACCTGGATGTGGTGATTCTAGGCTGTGTTCCGTCCATGACCCAGTACTGAACCATCAGCAATTTCCTTTCCAATATTTAACTATCATCTTTATAAATTAAATTATGGATAGATTTTTTTTCAAAATGCTGTTCCTATTATAAGCCATCTCAAAAATACAGATGGAAATTGAAGCTCTCTAATTCAATGATTACAGAGCTTCTAAACATCATTATTTTATGGCATTTGGAAAAATACAATCTTCATTTCCAAGGAAGTCGTGGCTTCTGGCGCTGATAATTTCATTACTCCTGGCGAACCAACTGAGATATCCGAGTTAATGTAATTTATGTTCAAAGATGTCCTAAAAGGCTGATGTAACTTCATTATCAGTACATGACTTTTGAAAATACAGGTACAAAAATACAAAATGAGAACATCTTCTAACATCACTCTAATGTGATTTTTCTGTTCTCCAGATCAGGTGGCAAGTTTAATAAACAATTTAATTGCTCAAATAAGAAAGGTTTTATTTTTTGTTCTGAGAGTTGGATTGACATTGGTTCAGAAGAAATAGAGTTTTGTCAGAATATTTCCCTGCAAGGAATAGGACCTGCTTGAGGTGTTTCAGGTCCTCCAAGTCTATTACTAATTGCTATTCTTAAAATCCACAAACCATGGGGCTAGCTTTCATTTTAGAAATATTTTGTTTTCTTTGCATCATTTGACTCAAGGCTGTCTGTATAAGCACCACAAATGGGGCTTAAAACAACAGAAATTTATTCTCTTGCGGTTCTGGCTGAAGGCTGGAACCAAGATGTCAGCAGGGCTGCGCTCTCTCTGAAGACCCCCCAGGAGAGGGGTTCTGGTCCATGCCTCAGCTTCTGATGTTGCCAGCAGTCCTTGGCATTCTTTGGCCTATAAATGTAGCACTCCAATCTCTGCCTTTGTTATCACATGACATTCTCCCGGTGTTTGTGTCCCTAGATCTCTCCCCCTTTTAAGGACACCAGACCCATCCTATTCCAGTATGACCTCATCTTAACTAGTTACATGCAAAGATCCTGTTTCCACATGGACACATAATTAGGTTAGGGCTTACACATCGTCTTTTGGAGGACACAATTCTATCCTGTAGCATGCAGCCTTACTATCTCTGTGAATATAGAAATGCTGCAGGTAGATTCTGCTCAAAGGGCAGTGTACCCAGTACACCGGTGGTTCTGGCACTCAAGGGGAGAGGAGGCCTCAGGCTTCTCTGAAATTGACCTTATTCTTCAGGTCAAGTACATATTCCCAAGAATGTTTTGTAAAGTGGTAGGTATGTTCTCATAAGCATTGTTTCTTATAAGACATGAAAGGGGAAGAATGTTAGTCATATTTATTTGCATATTATTTGAAGCAGAACGGGCCCTGCAGTCTGCCTGCTGGAAGCTTCCCATCCCTGTGGCACCCTTCTACCCAGGCCACCAGCCATTACTGGTGTCCTCTTACTGAGCACCAAGGGGCTGAAGGGTAATTTTGCTAACCAGAGCCCATTATTTTTTTGTACTTATTTTACAAACTAAGACAATTGTCTAGTCAATTGTCTTAGTTTGTAAAAGTCCTGTTGCTTATATCAAAGTATGAAAGTAGAAATAGCTTCTGAAACTCAGTTTACTGAGGAGATCCCAAGGGAGAGTTCTGCTGCAGAGAAAGAGCTTGTTGAGAAACAGCCTGTCTGCAGGCTCGGGGGCAAACATCCAGGACAAGTTGGGGAGGAATTTGCCAAAGATCTGCCACATAATGATGCCTGTCCACTGTCTTCACCATGAGAATAACCAAAGTTCCAAAGTGTGTTTCTGTTTTTTAAAAAAAGCTCCACAAGGTTTTTTTTAAAGTGCAAGTAAGAATATGT